AAATCACAATCTCTATCAACTTTATTTATTTTGGGGGGGGGGGGGGGGGTTCCGGTCGTGGAGCCTGAACTCTGAGCCTGGGTGCTGTCCCTCAGCTCTTCAGCTCAAGGCTAGCGCTCCACCACTTGAGCCACAGAACCACTTCCAGCTTTTTTCTTTTTGCTTATGTGGTGCTGAGGAATCAAACCCAGGGCCTCAGGCATGCAAGGCAAGCGCTCTACCACTGAGCCAACTTCCCAGCCCCTCTCTATCAACTTTAATTTCCTCACTGATTAGGGATATTTTATCTCTCATAAAGATTAAGTAACCTGTGACTCATTTTATAACCATGGAATACTATGCTATTACATTTAGCTTTTGAGTTGCTTACTAGGTACTTTTTTCTTATTGTACAAAAGAACTTTCATAAGTGATATGAAAACACATATGAAAATCCTGCTTAGTCTATAAAATCAAATGTCAACACCACTAGTATAAATGAAAAGAGTCCTTCAAGGAGCCAATCCCTTTCCTTTCTACCTTTATCTATAATTCAATAAAGTAGACTTCCACAAGGAAAGAAGTGATATTGTCCAAAAAGAAATGGACTCATTAGTTGACATATAACTGTAACCTTTCTGTACATCATCTTTATAATAACAATAAAAAATAAAAAACTTCCAAGTTAAAAAACTCTAATATCCTTATTTACATTTCCAAAAGTTAATCATTTACAAACTTCACACTTGAGTTAATAAGACATAAGCATGACTATTATAACAATAACATTCCTAAATCTTTCAAGATAATTATGAATTACTAACTAAAAGAGTGCCCATTCGCCAGGCATGGGTGGCTCACACCTGTAATCCTAGCTACTCAGGAGGCTGAGATCTGAAGATCATGGTTCAGAGCCAGCCCAGGCAGAAAAATCTGTGAGACTCTTATCTCCAATTAACCACCAGAAAAAAGGGCAGTGGTGCTGTGGCTCAAGTGGTAGAGCACTAGCCTTGAGCTAAAGAGCTGAGGGACAGCGCCCAGGCCCAGAGTTCAAGTTCCACAACTGACAAAAAAAAAAAAAAAGTGCCCATGACTACTATAATACCAACAACAAAGGTTGTATTTTAGTAATCATTACTATGTTAAGAGAGAAGCCTATAGCCTCAATGTTATAGAATATTTAACTCAGAATCTTTCTTGTGTATCATATTAGGATATGTTTATTGAGGGAAAATATTTTGAATCTACTTCAATGAACTAGGTTGCAAGAAACAATAGATTTTTTCACCTGAAGTGGTAGTGCACATTTTTATTTTCAGGACTCAGGAGGTTGAGTCAGGAAGGGCCGGGAAGGTGGCTCAGTGGTAGAGCGCTTGTCTTGCATGCGTGAGGCCCTGGGTTCGATTCCTCAGTACCACAAAAGCAGAAAAAAAAAAGCCAGAAGTGGCGCTGTGGCTCAAGTGGTAGAGCACTAGCTTTGAGCTGAAGAGCTGAGGGACAGCGCCCAGGCCCAGAGTTCAGGCCTCACAACCAGACCCAAAAAAAACCAGAAAGAACAAAAGAGGTTGAGTCAGGAGATGGTTACATGAAACACTGTCAAGGAAAAGAAAGAGGAGAAAGGGTGGGAGGGAGGAAGAAAGGGGGGAAGAAAAGAAATACATAAGATTTCCACTGATGGTATTTATGCTTTTGGTGGGGTTTGAACTCAGGACTTCATATATGCTCTCTACCTCTTCAGCCATGCTCTTAGCCCATCACTTAGAGTCCTTAAATTACAATATAACCTCTCTGCTGCCAGTTCTGGTTTACACAAAGCAGAGTAAGCATTAGGGCACCAGCAAATACAGTGTTACAAAAAGAAAAAAAATCCTAAAGAAATTGATTTTTAGCAAAAGCAACTAAAGTTAGTGATCATGGGAAAGCCATGATCATTGTTTCACTCTTGTATTATTTTATATGAATCTCCTTCCATGTTTAGGATCGCCAAAAATCCTAATCCAGAAGGCATGGTGGATGCATGTTTGTCATCCCAGGAAGCTGAGGCAGGAGAAGTACAAGGTCAAGGCCAGCCAGGCATACATAGTGACTTCTAGCGTCTATATCCAAAAATAAAAACTAAATCCAATTCAGTGTGTACATATAAATATTGTTTACTCAGTTATTCAGCAAAATGAATTTATTTCATGAAAATTATAACATATATGGCTTTCTTTTTGTTGTTGCTGGTAGTATGATTGTGTTTGTGGCAGTCCTAGGGCTTGAACTCAGGGCCTGGGAGCTGTCCCTGAGGGTTTTTTTTTTTTTTTTTTTTTTTGCTCAAGGTTTGTGCTCTACTACTTGAGGCCCAGTTCCACTTCCAGCTTTTTGGGATGTGGTTAATTGGGAATTTCCTGCCTAGGCTGACTTGGAACTACACTCCATAGATCTTAGCCTCCAGATTAACTAGGATAACAGGCATGAGCTACAGGGCCTGGAAATATATCGTTACATAAGTACAACTTGATTCTTTCTCATTACAGTATTTTCTGTAAGCAAGAAAACTTAATAAATGCTAGAAGACAATTTTTACACATTGGATACACGCTAGTTATTGCTTATCAGCCAATAGGGTTACTATACCATCACAATTTAGAGCTGTACTAAGCATTTATATAGTTCCTAGGATAATTACAAGCAAATTATTATTACTGGTATCGAAGACTCCTAAATGCTCTCCTTGAAATCTCGAAATATATGTAAGAAAAAAAAGGAGTTAATTTTTGTGTTGTCCCCCCCCGCCCCAACCCTCGATTTACAATTCAGCTTTAGTTACCTTAGAAAAGAGCCCTGGATATTTTTTCTTAAAAAAAAAATCAGTTAAAGAAAACACTACCATATTCGTCCTAGTTTTATCTCTAACAGTCTGTTGCTAGATGATGATCCAGATGTTTCTGACATGTTTACTTCAAGGAGCTAGGTACAGATGTTGCTTGAGGATATATATGTCGTTGGCTGGTTCTGATTAGAAAACTTGTCATTTTTCTCTTGTTTGGTTTCATTTTGGCCACTGGGTGCAGCATACAACCGTGTTTTTAAGGGCATAAATATATAAAAAGTCTGCTAAAAGAAAAAGAAGTACAGAAAATTGGTGTTGGGTGACTTAAATAAATGACTGAGATTGAGATAATTCCTTAACATTAGGACACCCTTCCCCCCCTCAACCAAAAACAGACCAAGCCCCAATCTCAGTAGTGAAAGAGAAAACTTGGTCCACAAAACAATAGCTTTGTTAGAAAATACTTCCCATGACTCATTTTAAGTTTTGAATTAATTACTTTTCTCCCTTTCATCCAAGAATAGAAACTGTTCCCGTTTTCCAGTCCCTGGATATGGATTTCACAGAGTTGGTTACGATTTCTTAAAATGCCTTTTGCTTTTGGTACCAAAAACTCAGTCTTTTACAGACTTTTGCTTTTTTGGAGCTCTGCGCTGGTCAGCCGGCTTCCTCTTTGGCCCTCCAGTTCTAGTTTTGGCAGGTGCCAGGCCGAGGGCCCGGGCCGGGAGCGGGAGGACGAATTTACCCAGTGCGCGCGTCCAGGGAGGGGGAAAGGCGGACGCTGCAGGCCTGGCCGCTCGAACTTGGCGAGCCTGGCCCGGGAGAGCGGGCCCCTCCCCGCTACAGCAGGGGAAAGGCTCCCTCGGCTACGGCCGGCTCCCGCTTTCCAGCAGCCAGCGCACCGGGCCTCTAGGGCCTTTCGGCCCTTCACGGCCCCACAGCCTCCTTGAGAAACTCCCCAGTCCCCGCCCCGGTACGGCTCTGCTCAGCCTGAGGTTGCACACCGCGAACTCCAGCCCGCCCGCCTGCCAGACGAGGAAGGCCGGCCCCGCTCCGCAGTGCAGAACCCCGCTTCAGCAGAGGCGGCCCCTCGGAGCTGGCCGGCGAGAAGCAGCGCCGCGGAACCGCCGGAGGGTGGTGGGGAGCGCCGAAGCGGGAGGAAGGGCTCTGGGTCGGGGAGGCGGAGCGCGCGCCGCAGCCGGACCCAGCGCCACCAGGGCGGAGGGCGGGGCGGAGGGCGGTGCCCGGGCTTCCCGCTCCCGCGGCGCAGCAACTCGGCCGAGCCTCCTTAAAACTCTGCCGTTAAAATGGGGGCGGGTTTTTCAACTCAAAAAGCGCTCAATTTTTTTCTTTTCAAAAAAAGCTGATGAGGTAGGAAAAAAAGGGAGAAGAAACCGGCACCATCTCTGCAGAGGCAACAGAAGCAGCAATTGTTTCAGGGGGGTGGGGGGGAAGAAAGAAAAGAAGCCAGGAAAGGAGAGAAGGAAAAGACCTAAAAGAGGGACGACGCTCTAGTGCCTGTAGGGGTGAAGGGAATCGGGACCCGCGATTTTGGGGGGACTAACTACAAAAGAAACTGTCACTGGCAGCGCTCCGACGCGGTTCGCCCCTGGGCACAGCTGGCTGGCAGCGGTCGGCGGCTTAGGCTAGGGGACACTGACCGGGGGACCGAGGAAAATTAGCCAAGTGGCACGGGGCGCCGAAGCTGCTGGGCTCTCGCCAAGAGGTTGGCGGGACTGGTTGCACCCTGGAATTGTGGCGACCCCCGGTCCTCAGAGCCTGGCCAGCGTTCCCCCGGACCTTCCCCATCTCCAGAGGCCCTCCGACACCCGGGAAAAGAAGGAAAGGACGGAGACGGCGGCCACTCGATGAGCGACTCCATAAACGGGCTGAGCTAGCCCGGGCGGAGGCGGGAAGTTGCCGGTGAGCTGCCCCCGGCAGCAGCGATGCTGCGGCGAGCCGCCCCCACAGCCTGAGCCTCGCAGCTACCTCCCCGGTGTCTCCCCTCCTTCTTCGGACTGCCGGGAGTCCCGGGACCCGGTGGGGCAGGCATGACGGGCTTGCCGGGGGCCTGCCGCGCGCCCCGCAGCCTCCCGAGACTGGCGCCGAGCCCGGCTCCCACGGCCTCTGAGGCTCGGCGGGGCTGCGGCAGCACGGCGGGCGGGCTCCAGAGTCTTCCCGCCCGGCGTTAGCCCCCAACAGGGCCCGGTCGGGACTGAAGGCTCCCCGGGAGAAGTTGAGCACGCTCGGGAGCCCCTGAGACCTGCTCCTTGAGGGCCACGGAACTGCTTCTGCCGTCTGCCTTTGGCGATCATCTTTAACCCCCGGAGCACGTCAGCATCCAGCCCACCGCGGCGCTCTGCGGTCCGCCCTGGACTCGGGATTCTGCGAGCCGGATGGAACCCGAGCCCCTCCGAGGACCGGCCCCTGAAGTTCTGGCTCCAGTCACCACCGCGAACCAGGGTGGGTCAATACCTTTTCTTCACCCCAAATGCCTTTTCTTCTGCGGTATTTTTTGAGCTGGACCTCGTCCCTAAGAGTCTACACACGTAGTCCTCCCACCGCTCCGAGGCGTAGGTACGTGACAGCTCTGCCTGCATCTCTGGTCCAGAGTGCTTACTCCAGAATGTCTGTGTGTCTGGGCTGGGGGTGTCGGGGTGGGGGGAGGATCATCAGAATTCTTCATAGGGGTTAAGCTAAAGAGAGCGGAGGCGCCCCTCTCCAATGGCTCAGTTTTGCTGAATAATCACGTGTGAACCGAGGGGCGGGCTTTTGGCAGGCAGATCTTACTAGTATTTACTACCAAGCTCTACTCCAGATTAACCATCCCAGTCCTTCTGTCAGTCTTCGATGCCATCATGCAGCCTGGTTAGGAGCAAAGGAATCGGGGGAGGGGGGGCGGGGGGCGAGAGAGAGTGAGAGTGAGAGGAAAAACAACTAATTCATCTTTTCCCGATCGTCAGGACCCTAAAGAATGGCCGAGCCTTGGGGGAACGAGTTGGCGTCCGCAGCTGCCAGGGGGGACCTAGAGCAACTTACTAGTTTATTGCAAAATAATGTAAACGTCAATGCCCAAAATGGATTTGGAAGAACTGCGCTGCAGGTTGGTATCCAGAGAGGTGGGGGAAAACAGGTTAAAAACGTTGCCTACGTGAACCGGGTTTCTAGAATGACAGTATTTAAGCTTTTAGGGGTACCGATTTTCACTGTTATTTTTTAAAGCCTCCTTGGTTGCCATATTTTATATCTTTAAGAAAGGATCCAACTCCCCAAAATGACGTATTTTGAAGAAACTCGTCAAATCCAATAACATCCTCGATATCAAAAGGATCCTAGATTTTGGAATGTTTGTGTCTGTGTGTGTGTAAGGCGGTGGGGATTTTAAAGTATTCGCAGCAGCACCGAGGTCTATTTGTTTGGTTTTGTGTTGTTTTAGACAGTAGTGTAAACACATTGTTCTGATTATTATTCGAAGTAAATACACCGCTATTAGTGGCTTTAGGTACTTTGCCCCTAATTGACTTTAACGCTAATTTTCTTAACTGCTAGTAAGGGTGTTTTTCCTTCAAATGCTTCATGTTTTGACGAACGACCTTTCCTGGTTTGGAAGGGGCAGCCTGGGCACGGGGACAGGATGTACATTTCACAGTTAATATAATACCATCCACCCATTTAGGGGTGAGAAGAAATAAAAGCTGAGTTTTCTAATCAGAGGTTAGGTACAGTGTTTTTGTCCCTGCAGTCATGCCGTGGTATGCTCTAATTTTCAGTAATTAGATTTACAGGCAACAATTGACACATGTGAAGCTGCCAAGTATATACCTGATAATATTTTTTTTCTCCTCCAAAAGTTATCATGTAACTTAGTTTAGAGGCTTAAAAGCAGAAGAATGGAAAAGGAGTTGTATCAGAGTTCTGATGATATTCTTATTCCGATGCTGCTTTTGAAAACACATTAGGGAGGCTTTTAGAGGGTTTTGTTTCGGTTCTAAAATTGAAATTTTTGCTGGAAGGAGATATCACAAGGTCAACACAATCTGAATATTTTAAAATCAGAATTCACTGGCCTTGCAAACATTTTAGCATTAATAAAGCATATGCATATTATCTTACATTTTTATCTTGTTTATCTTGTTTCAGGTACATTCAGTAGGAAGAAGATTTTTTTTCTTTTCCTACTTATTAGTTTTGAACAGGCGTGGTGGTGATAGTAATGCCACAAATTTAATACATTGAAAAGTTTCCTAAAGAAAAGTCAAAAGATTAAAATAATCTCACAAAGAATGAGCCACTTATCCACTGTTCACAATAAGAGCTTATAGGATTTTGATGAACTGAAGACTGGACAAGGAATACTATTTTTAAAATTTTTTGAAAAACATTTTAATGTAACTCTGCAATCTTGTTTATATTAACAGACTTATCAAGATAACAACACCCACTTAATGTGGCTTAGCTTTAGTAATATAATGAAACACATGAACAAACAAGAGTCTCAAGGCTTATTTTCAGTATGCATAATCCGAATTGAAGTTGTGACCTAAGAACTTTCTTCAATACCATTACTAAAATTACTATTGTTTTCTATGAAAGATAGCGATTTTTCTTCTATAATTATATTTACTTAACTCAATTGCTAATGCTTGTTCTCCCTTCCTAGTGTTTTTCAGTCTGGATAATATCAAAGGCCTTAGTTGTACATTTGCTTTACACAGATCCAAGGTGTCTGTCTCTTGTTCTTCTCATTCTAGATGAGAAAACTTGTGGCAAAAAATTAAGAGTCATTAACTTTTAATAACTAAAAAGTATAGTTCATAAAAGTTCTTGAAAAATTAATAAGGTGTCATTTTTACCACTGCCCTAAAAAAAGGCCTAAAAGTTCACAGTTTTATCAACAGAGAAACTTATTATCTTGACTATCTATATAGTTTACATTTATAAAATGTTACTTTAAGTACATTTTATTACATTACTTAGTTTGTGATTACTAAAGAAAACATTTTAAAAAGAGAAATCAATTTTGCATATATTTCCAATTATTATTTGACTTAATAAACAATGAATATCTACTATACAACCTATTTATTATAAATGTAGATTATTATAAATATAGCTAATATAAATGCAATTAGTTAAAATGATGAAAATTTTTAGGGTGTTAATGACAGTAATGTTTTTCATGACTAAATTATAGACTTTATACTTATATGCTATTCAAGATAATTTTAATTATGAGAGATCGACATGCCTTATTAAACTGAAATATAATCAAACAACAGTAAATAAGTGTTCATGATATAAATTTGCACTTTCCTAACAAACTTTAGAGTTTTAAGGTATTAGCAGTTTACAAATAGTTATTCCTAAATGCCTATAATAACTATAAAAGGAAATAAGACAAGCTCACCAATTGATTATTAAATAGGCTCAAACCACAAGACAAATCCATCTGTTTCTCCAACATATATTAAATATCTTCTTTTTTCTTTTGCTCTTTTGCATATCAGGAGGCTAGTTAGAATTCTGAGAAACAGTGAATAATATAATTTGATGACTATTTTTTTCTTTTCAAGAACAGTTGCCATACAGTCATTTCCTATCTAATACAAGGCATAACATGAACCTAGTTTAAGATAAATTGATATAAAAACAAGCAGTGTAGAACACTGTGGCTTATTTAACACCTTAATAATCAGTAACATTCTGTAATTTGAAATGAATTCTAAGCACTGAATGGGTAGCCAATATGAAGTAGACTGCAAAGAAAGAAATTTAAGTGTTTGGAAATTTGTGAAAAATAACCAGTTAAGAAAATTTCAGTTTTACACTAGGTGGCCTTTGAGGTTTTAAAGAAACCCATCGTCCTTATTTGCTTTTAGCAGCTATTTGTAAAGTAAATTTTACTCACGTTTGGTTTTCCAGAATTAATACCCCAGGCATATTTTATGTGCATGGAAAGGCAAACAGGAGGTTATTTAAATCCCATATTTCTTCTATTTTAAGGAATTCATGAAAGAAACTACACAGCTCTTCTTAGAAGATAAAAACTTGAGTTATCCATGAAATTTATAAAGGTGCACAAATTATATTTTATTGATCAACTTATCCTATACCATGGCCCATTTAAGATATTCAATCAATTAGAGATGCTTATTTTTACTTTTTCTAACTAGTACTTTCTGGCCACTATGCCCTTCAACTCTATCCTACAAGTCTCCCCCAAGTATTCCATCAGTAGCAGTTAATAATTTGAAGTATTCCTCTAGCATGAGCACTTGAAGTATTCTACCACTTTTAAACTTCTTTTCTAGGTAATGAAACTTGGAAATCCTGAGATTGCCAGGAGACTACTACTAAAAGGTGCTAATCCCAATTTGAAAGACGGAACTGGTTTTGCTGTCATTCATGATGCAGCCAGAGCAGGTTTCCTGGACACTTTACAGACTTTACTGGAGTTTCAAGCTGATGTTAACATCGAGGATAATGAAGGGAACCTGCCCTTGCACTTGGCTGCCAAAGAAGGCCACCTCCCAGTGGTGGAGTTCCTTGTGAAGCACACAGCCAGCCATGTGGGGCACCGGAATCATAAAGGAGATACCGCTTTTGACTTGGCCAGGCTCTATGGGAGGAACGAGGTCATTAGCCTGATGGAGGCAAATGGGGTGGGGGGAGCCACAAATCTGCAATGAATGTGAGGAGAGCTTTTGCACATTACTTCTATTGTGTCAGTTAATTGATTGCCTGTCCTATTTTTAACATCATTTGTTAAAATATATAGTTCTTCATACTTTAAGAAGCTAGTTAAATCTTTGAAACTATATAAGTGGAACTTTTACTAGAGTCTTAATGAGTATATTTAAGCAGTATCTTTTTCACTTGCAAAATCCTTATTTCTAACATGTAATTGCAAATAAGTGTTGGCTTTCTTCTGAATATTTTATTTTTCCTTAACTTTTTCCTTGCTTATCCTTTTGCCAGTCTTGATCTCCCTGAATGGCAGAAATGTAAAATTACACAATGTTTAAGTATTAAACTAAAATACAAGCACCAGTTTGGGGGGAACAAAGACATTTAGCCAGAAAACTGTATAAATTACATATAAAGGTCATAACTATTTTAGAGTTTTTGAAATAATAAATGTAGAAACTTTTGCAATAAATAAATAAGTCACTCTTCCATATGGTACTTGGTTTTCACAAGACTTTTTAGCAAATGAGTATATTTTGGGAAACATGTTTAGCTATGACTAAAAATTGAATGAAAGAGAAATATCTCAAGATATATCTCCAAGAGAATTTTCCAGCAACTGCTATTTATCCTGTCATATTAATTAATAATTGTCACCAAGAGATTTTAATGCACTGACCACTTTTAATACTTTATAAAGTGCCACATGAGCAAATATGTTTTATGTGAAAAGTCCCCTCCTCCTGCTTTATAAACTCTCTGCCCTCACTTCAAAAAGAACAAAATACTTCAAGGTTTATTGAAGGGCATGGTTCTGACGCCTTTCCTAACAAGGACTGGAACGATTGCAGGCAAGTCGTTTATAAAGCTTTTATTTTTCATTATTATATAAAAATATATAAAAGGAGAAGGTAAAACTTTTTTTTTCATTTTTGGACTAAAACTTGCATTCCTTAAGATGAGTGTAACAAGACTTTCCCTTCTGCCACCTTTAAGCACAAGTTACTAAATTTATTTTTGATGGCGGCATGAAATTAAACTAAGACATTTTTTTAAGCAGACTGAACAAGCTTATTTGAAACCAAAAGAAAAGCCATGAAAGAAAGTGGGGAGATATAGGGAGACCTCCATTCAGAGAGAGGCCCCAAAGAGGAGTCCCAAAGACATATTTTTTTAAAAAAAGTCCAAATTGAGATTGTTTTAGAGGAAAAGTTGTATTTTGACTTAAAGAATACACAAAATATATTGCTTTAGTAAGCTGAATAGTTTCCAAGCACACTATTATTGAAAGCAATTTTAAAAAACTCTTACAAGTTATCAACTACATAGATGAAAGCTTTTGAATTTGAAATTCAGCTTAATGATCCTTACTCTCCATATCTCAGCATTTGCTTTATCACATACTGTAAAAATTGCCTTTAGGGGTTTGATAATTCATATATAAACGCACAGGACATTGATAAAGCAAAAGAGAAGAAGTACAGCAACTGCTTTGTTCTTTCAGATCGTACCACCATACCATAGAGAGGGAGGAAGCGCATCTCTTATCAGCCTAAAATTTGCTAGGCATTAAACATCTCCACTTTTGTCTGGCTTGTCTCAGGAAGTAGCTTTGCTAATCTAAGTATTTTAGAAATGAGTTATCTAGCCCCTTCTAGGAAATTGGAAAAGCCATTATTCAGTCTTTCAAAAACCTCAACAGTACTTAGTAAAACAATTTTTAATATGCCAGAATGTATAGGATGGAAGAGATGGCGCTACAGAGTTAAAATGAGGTCTGATTTGCAAGGAGCTTTATGAGGGAGGCGTCTGAATTTATTCAGGTGCTGGGAGTGAGGTGGCTAATTCAATGCTTCCAGCCCAGAAGATGTTGCTATAGAAAGTGTGGAAGACACAAAGCAGAGATGCGCTCACAAATTCAGTTCTTCACTGAGCGCACAGTCTTCAGGGAAACGGGTTTAGCCTTTGCGCAGTAGGCTAAAACTCAGCTCACAAACCTGGAACAAGAGCGAGGCGCTTCCAGGACCTGACTACCTGCTGGTCCCCAAGCCACTAACCAAAGTGAATTTTTTTTTAATCATATTCCAGTAATGAATCAATGACATTGCTGCATCTAGCAGTAGCGTGATGAGCTCAGGCACACACACACGCACACACACACACTCACACACACACACACACACCACGCTGGGTATCCCGAACACATGCAGTGTTCAGGGCTGAGGAAACAATTCACTTAACAATATGATACATTTCCCTTATCATACTAATCAAACGAACACGGTAGAAACCGTAGCCCAGAACTGGTTTCAAAATCTCAGTTCTCAAAAAAGAAAACAAATAAATAAAGTGCTTTCGGCTTTTGACGGTGATGCAAGTAATTGCCCAGAAGCGCTGGGGGGAGGAGGGGGGGAAATCAGTGCTGGAGGGAAGGCTGGTCCTGTGGTCCTTTCTGACTGTCCTAAGCTACCTCTGTCAAAAGGCTACAGGGAGGGAAAAGTCTCTGTTTTAGTCACTGGAGACTTTTTTTTTCTTTTACACAGTAGTTCCATGAAAACATCCACGCAGGGACCTAGTGAGAGGCTGGAAACAAACTTTCCGCCTGAGGCCAGGAGGAAACCTCTGCCCCGTGCAACTGTGGAGTTGCTGCGAAGACATCCTTTCTATCCTTTTGAAACCCTTTCTTCAGACTTAACTCCGGCCCCAAGGAGCCCAACTGAGAAAGCAGGAGCCCGGGGCGCCCTCCAGGGCGCGCAGAAAGCCCGGGGTGGGGGTGGGGGAGCTTCAAAACCGTTAGCTCGCTTTGCCCCCTCCCTCTCTAAGGTTTCTTTTCTCTTCCTGTCCAAATATTTCAAATTTCCGCGCCTTAAATAACAGTCTCTTTTTATTTAGTTAGTTTTCCCCGACAGGTTTGGCCCTCGGCTTGGCTCTGTCCACCTCCGGGTCCGGGATGCCTGCAGCAGTGCCCTGGTGCTGAGCCCACCGCCCTGGCCCCCCGGGACCCAGCCCGCACGGAACCGGCGCGCCCACCGGAGCCACAGCCCCCTCCCGCTGCGACCTCGTTTGACCCGGCTGTCCGGGCTCGCGGAGCCACGCAGGCCGCCCTCACGCCCAGGCCGGCCGGACGCCTGCCGGCCTCTCCTGCGCCACTGCCCTCCCTGGACTTGGGAGCGTCCTGGGCTTTGGGCTGAAAACCCCGTGGCCTAGGAGCAGCGGAAGGGCGAGCAGCGGACGAGGCGCGTGGCGCGAGCCGGCCCCAGTCCCCAGCGCGAGGGTAACCTTGGAGGCGCCCCGGCCCTCGGAGAGAGGGTGAGTGAGTGCGTGCGTGCGTGCGTGCGAGCCAGCGAGCGTGCGCGGCAGCCCCGGCCGCCCCGGGCGAGCTGGCGCACCGCTCGGCGGGGCGGGAGGCGGGAGCTGGGGCAAGGGCGGGGGAGTGGGCCTCCGCTACCGCGCCCGCGAGCTGCGGGGTACCCCCAAACTGCTGGGACCCGGCTTCCCGTCCTCTCCTGGGCCGCCATTTAGACCCTCGGAACCCCCACCCTCCCACACCCTGGGGAGCTGTGCCTGCGGACTGGGGCCGGAGCGAGCGGGCCGGTGAGCGCCTCGCTCTCCGCGGAGGTGAGCTGGCGGCGGGAGCGGCCGCAGCCCCTCGGTGCGCGCGCCGCCTCGCCCGGTGACAGCTGAGGACAGCCGGCTACCAGTCCGGCGTCCAGCTGCAAGGAGGCGAAGACCTCCCGGTCTGCTCAGCCCCCTCCGACGGCTAGGAAGGTTGCGCTCTGGCTTGGCCTCCCCGACTACAGTGACTTCGATGACGTCCGCGACTGAAAAGGCACGATCGTGTGGAAAAGACCCTCAGCCCCCCAACCGTGAATCCGAGGCTACGCATGCACACCAAGTCTTATTTTTTTGTTGTTCTGTTATTTTTTTTTCCTAATCCAGAATAGTTTAGGAAGTGCAGTGGGTCTCTTTAGCTTCTGTCTCCAAAGAATCACAGTTCCCCAGACCTGGATATATGAAGGTTCCAGGGAGATGCCTTGCTATCCACTGTAGAGCCATTGTGCGAAGTCAGGTGTTAGGATGTGAATTTAGAATTTTCTGTGTTTTTAATTCTCACAGATTTTTTTTTTAAAGCTCAGTAACATCCAACAAGTGAGCAAAGGTTACCCTGCCTCCACAGCACCTGCAAAAGCACTACTGGAACTCACATATTTTTTCTTTCTGAGTTTTAAAATGGCTTCTGAACCATCCAGAGGTATCAGTACAGAAGAGGAGCGGACAGGAGGCAAAAGGAGTTTGCACATTAAAAAAAAGAAAAATCAACCTACAAAGATACTATTATTATACTGAAAGTGTTCCACATAACCCTCCTTCTCTTCCAGCTTTCATCATCCCTCAAGGATTTTAGCATAGCCCTGCTTAACTTCATATACAGGCCTTTTCTCTTCCCTCACATCCTTCCACCCCAACCAAAAAACACAAAACAACCAGCCAAAAATATCAGCTCTTTTGGGGAGGAAGTAAGAAACCACCAATCCCTATCCAACAACACTTCATTTATTTTGAGCACTAAGAAGAAATCATACAATCAGTGCTATGAAAGAAATAGTTTACCTAGGACTCAAACACATTTAATTGGTATAATTAAGGTGATAGTGCCTTTTAACATGAAAATAATGGGACACTTTCTGGGAATCACTAAATGATAAACTCAAAATTCTTCTTGGGCATATTTGGAGACAGAGGTTTCTGCTTTTAGTATGTCATCAGTTCTTAGAAAAAAATAAAACTGGTATTTTATCTTGACCATATATAAAGCAGTATCATGCTAACTAAATTTATTTTAGCTATATGCTTAAGATGTTCTGATTAGTTACATGAATGGGGAAAGCTCACATGTACAGGAAAACTGTCATTTTCATAATGCTGGATTTTTAAACTTAGAGATACAACCAAATTACTCAACACAGCCTTATCAAAAACAGTCCTCTCTCCTATTCCTTCTCAGTGGACACTTTGCACACTTACTAGAAAAGAAATCGGAGTTTTTAAATGTGTGCTTTGGAAACATGACTTAATAAAATTAAAACACAGATCTTTAGGAATAATTATTTGGCTATTCTGTGTACAATTAATGTCTCTCCTCTTACAATCTGGAGAAACTGTAGTATACATTTGGGCCCTTTAAGAACCTAGATAATTCTTATACTTTTCATCTTTATATTTATTTTTATTAAAATTATTGTCTTCAATGACTCAGCAGCATTCTAATGTCCATGCTACTAATTTAAGACTTCAGACATTAGACAAGAAATGTAATCACTACCTTACTTATGTAACTGTAATCCCTTTGTACATCATTTTGACAATAAAAAAAAGACTTCAGACAAAATCAGGCTATTTTAAAATGACATGTGTTTATTCTTGGTCAGAATTTGGAGCAGATATGATTAACTTAAAGGCCTAGAATAATTTACAAATCAATAATAATACAATGTGGTGATGATTCAAGATGGAATAGAAATATTCATATATTAAAAGACCTGCTTACATTATTATGTTAAGCAGCACCTAATGATTAGCAGTATAATATTCTCCATCTCAATATCAAATAAGAAATAATATATGTCATGGTATGTTTTCTGTGAAGGATAATTCCATTTACTAATCATGAGGGAAAAATAAGCAATCATTCCAATCTCTTCTTCAAAACTAAGTAAAACATAATTAAGAACAGTAGTTTAAAAAATATTTTTTTCTTTAACTTTTTTTTTTAGCTTTACAGTTGAGCTTATGAGCAAAAAGTAGCATGCAGGAAGAGATTTACAATTTTTCTTATTCCTCTTTCTTTAACCATCTCTCCCTCAAGTTTCAAAAAATTACCTAATTTTTAAATATCATAGTAATTGTCCTTATAAATTCAAATTTATCATAGGCTTCTAAGCCAAAAAGCACAGTCTATTCTTTAATTAAAATGAAGGTAAGTGTAAAAACTGTGGGTATAAAGTTATAACAATTGCATGTTTATGATTGAAATATCAATTAACTACAAGCTAAAGTATTTACTATTGTGTCTTATGGTAAGACTTTTAACATAGACTCAAGATATAGAGAGAACTTAAATGTAATTCTGGTCTTCCAAAGGCAATTTGGTATATTTTAATTTACCATACTAAATTTACCATGCTAATTATCTTAACTAGTAAAAGCTAAATGTTAATACTTATAGAAGTAGGATATAAAAGCCCAAGTTATTTAAAAAATAAATTACTCAAACAGGTAAATTAAATATTTTCACTTTAATGTTCATTCTTTTATAGTTATCTTTTACACTTGGAAAAATATTCTATGTCTCTCTGTAAGTATATAGATGGTACTAAGCAGAGATTCAAAATAATGGTTTTTGGTCCTATATGAGTAATTTTTACATATGTATATTAATGTAAGATATTTCTTACTGAAGTTCAGTGCTATGAAAATGCATATTTGGAACAAAACCTATCAATTTATCTCACTTTACATTTAAGATACTATAATACTCCACATAAAATAAGCTGATAATATTTTAGACATAGGAGACACCATTTTCACTCATGATGCAGGAAAGGATATAAGTTAAAGTCTTAGAGCCAAGAATACTGATATATATCTGAGTTCTATCATTTATCTCAGATTCTTGTCATGAGGCAGGTATATAAACAAGCCACTAAATACCAACAGCTTAGAAATATTAAATATTACAAATACAATTGTGAAGATGAGAGTGGGAAGAATAGATGTTTTCAATGCTTTAGATATTCATGATTAATTAAATATTAATTACATGTTGGGTAATTTACTAAGGAATACAGAAGCAAGGATAAAACAAGACAAGTAAAAGATACTCAAGAATAAAAAACCAGGGCAAATACATCTAAAAATATTGCTTTTATTACATCATCATAATAAACATAAGCAAATTAATTTTTCTTACATGGACAGTTTCCTGTGATGTTTTCTATATTTTCTTTTGGATAATATTTTTAAAACACAGAACTAGAACAAAATCTCTAATTTATAGTTATATGTATAAATTATATCTATTTATTTCTACATACAACAGACACATGTTCTGTCCAAAGATAGCAAGCTCAGCACCATTCTGAAGGAGTTAGTGAATGCAGCTGGACATCTGAACTAGACGAAAGAGCAATTCAGTGTGAAACCACAGCAAGGCCACTTAGAAGAAAGCACTGAACAGGATGCATGCTGATTATTGTGCTTAAAGTAAGGAAATGTCTCTAAGTCCATATAAATTGCCTAACATATTTGAAATATATCATGTCCCTACTGTAATGATACATTATTCTATACAAAAGCAGCTGTAAAAGACGATATAACAGATCAACATAACTGATGTCACAGGAAAAATATTAAAGTGACAATATAACAAAGAATTACATATAACATAAGTTGACAGTCAATGGTTGTATTGAAGTTCTTTCTTAAAAGGCTTAATAATGTTTTGAAGATTTTTAAATTGAGCCAGGTATGTAAATAAGTGGCAGAGTACTTGCCCACCAGGCGTAAGGGCCTGGGTTCAATCTTCAGAACACACACACACACACACACACACACACACATACACACACACACCAATCCTAGTATGTTAAACATTTAAAATGCATGGCTTTTCAAACATATGATTATCTATAAACAACACATTTATTAATATTTTAATTTTTAAAAATTCCATCAAAATCACTACAAAAATAATTTTTAGTTCACTGGAGCTCATAAAAAGAGCTTGTACCATATACTAAGATCAACAAATAGTTTCTTACCACCAGCATAAAAGAATTTTTAATGATCCATGCTTTCAAAGGAAAATATCTTGGCAAATTACCAAGATGAAAATCTGGTACTTTTTAGCAGCACTTTTTCTTTACTCCCACAAAGAGATTACATTCAGAATCAATGTAAGATTAAGTTATCATCTCTACATTATATAGAATTTATATTCTATATAGTATTCGTAACCCCTTCATGAATTGGGATTTTTTAAAAATCCCATCTTACAAATCAGGATATTCAGATATGATAATCAGTAAGCGAACCTGTCTATGGATATGGGCTACCAATTTAAAGCATAAATACATGTCTTTTTTTGTTGTTACACAGATGGAAAGACCTTTCATAAAAATTGCTACAAATCCACCAACATAATTATGGTTATCTAGTAGGCATATGATTTGGGGACTAATTATATCTGAGGCTTTTCATATCTGTAAAATTGGAGTAATAGTATCTAATGTTTTAAATAATATATGAAA